TTAATTTTTATATATTGGATTTGAGGTAGTCATAAACATTAGTCTAAAGATGTTTAGTGCATCAGTTTCAGGGACCATTAGTCTTTAATGTAGGTTGTTTTAAAACATACAGACCATTTCTGCAACCAAGTGAAAGAAAGAGAAACTTTAAAATTTGTTTGACCTACATGTAAAAAGTCATATATTTGCTAAGCTTAACATTTATACCAAATCCAAAACTTGAGAAAAGACAACGTTCGGGCGTTGCTTGTCAAGAGTCTGATGATGAACTCACCGGTCCGAGTCTAGAGGTAGCTGTCGAGATGGGTTGTGCGGCGTCTTGCGGCGCCTCATTGCGCGATGAGCTGCTGCTGCCAGCTTCCGTATCAGCACCCTCACTCTCGCCCTCTCTTCTTTGGTTTGTGCTGTCCGTTCTAGAACTACGTATTTTTAACAAAAATATTATATTTACATTGTGTAGGATAGATAACTGACTTGAAAAGTATTGTAACAACTTGTATAACATCCTGTTGGGCTTATTGCAAATGAAGTGGAGCGGGTGGCTCTGCCGCAGTGCGCGGTTGTGATCTAAGGCGATGGAAATGGTGTATCTATATTTATTCACACTCATCAGCAGGCACTGTTACGATTATGTTTTTAGAAGTTAGGGTGATAAGCGAGCGCACAGTCCACCTCATGGGGATGCTGTGGCCCACAAGCACCTACGTTTATCTCCGATTAAGAAACAAAATTATATTAACAATACTAATATTCACTCGAACTCACGACTCTGCACCACTCACCCTTTTTTTTTTTTTTTTTTTTTGCGGATGGAAAATCATCAAATGACGCCTTTCGCTCTGGGTGGAGCGGAAGGGAGTGTCAGACTTTTACTGACTAAAAACCATCCGTGTTCCTTCAGTGCCCTTACGTTCCGGAGCCGCGGTATCTCTTTCGAACAGCCCGCAGCCCCGGCAGGCGTCGGCCCTTGCGGGCCCCTTCACGCTGCTGACAGCTCTTTGAGGCGCGCGTGGAACAAAACGCGCCGTCGACACGGCCTGTCGTCGTTAGACGGGCGGACGGCGAGCTACCCATTGCTCGCCGTCCACAGGCCCGCGCCTACGGTGGCCGGGGGCCACGACGTAGCCCCCGACGCCCGGGGCGTCTCCCGCGGCGGCCGGGAAGGAAAGCTGTTGCTCTCTCCTTCTCCCGCTCCGCCACCTCCTTCGCTAGCATCACTGCTTCGCAGAAGGTGGTGACGGCATCCCATTCCGTCTCGCTCCGGACCATGGCTTCGACCAGAGCCGGACGCGAGAGGTCGCCGCCGCCTATCGCCGCTACGAGGACACGGCGTTGCTCCGCCCAGGCAGGGCACACCTCCACGGTGTGCTCCACCGTGTCCTCCGGTCGATCCTCGCAGTGGGAGCACCCGGGCGTTTCCTCCCGCCCGATTCGGTGCAGGAACCTCCCGAACACACCGTGTCCGGTGAGGACCTGCGTCAGGCGGAAGGTGAGGACGCCGTGGCGTCTCTCAAGCCACTCCTCAAAGAGGGGTCTTATCGCCGCTATAGTGGCGTGCCCAGCACGGGGTTGCGACAGTCGCTCTCTCCATGTCGCCATGAGATCATGCCGGAAGTCTGTCCGCTGCACGACAACTTGCCGCGGCAGCGGGGTTTCCCCCCGGCATAGTGCCTCAGCGCGCCATTCGTGCAGGCGCGCGAGGACTATCGCCTCCAGATCCCATGGCGGCAATCCGGCAAGGAGGCACGCTGCCTCGCGGGAGATCGTGCGGTAGCCGCGAACCATCCTTACGGCAACCACCTTTTGGGGCGCGTTCAGGTGGTGGACGGCAAGCCGCGCCAAACCACGCGCCCACACCGGGGCCCCGTAAAGGGCCATGGACCGCACAATCCCCGCGTAGAGCCTCCGGCAGGAGGCGTTTGGCCCCCCCAGGTTCGGCAGGAGCCGCCTAAAGGCAGCCCCAAAGAGCCAAACGTCGGAAGTGCTCAACGAAGTTCCATCGGCCGTCGAGGACGAGTCCTAGGTACTTCAACGTCGACTCGACGCCGATGGATACCCCTCCTACCATCGCTGAGGATCCCGGTGGTGGCCTGTTCCGAGGACCATGGAAGTGCATGGCCTCGGACTTGTGCAGAGCCACCTCAAGACCCAGCTGCCGGATCCTCTCAACGACTATCGCAACCCCGCGTGTCATGTTTTCCGCCGCCGCCTCGTACGACCCCCCCTGTGCCAGTACCAGCGTGTCGTCAGCATAGCAAACTACGCTGACGCCGGTAGGGAGGTCGGCGCGCAGCACCCAGTCGTAACCGATGTTCCACAGGGGCGGCCCCAGAACCGAACCTTGTGGGACACCGCACGACATCTCTCGCCGGTTCCACTCACCGTTGCGACCGGGGTAGATGACGGCCCTATCCGTCAGATAGTCCCCGACTATACGACGGAGATAGGTCGGCACCCGGTGATACCGGAGTGCCTCCCTAATGCAGCTCCAGGGCATGGAGTTGAAGGCGTTGGCGATGTCGAGAGACACCGCCAAAACAACCCCCCCCCCCCCCTGGCCACTGCATCCCCCGTCGTGAGGGCTCTCACGCGCATGATGGCGTCCACCGTAGAGTGATGGCGTCCACCGTAGAGGCACCACCGTAGAGGCACCCACCGTAGAGGCACCACTCACCCTACCGTTAGTCTACTGTTGCTTCAATTACATCGTTTTCCAATATCTATAGTAGGCTATCCCTATTGTGTATCAGGTAGTAAACTGTGTCCCGTGCCGTATGAGCTGACTACTCACTAGTGAGTTCGAGGTAAGAGCTATGATTCACATGTGGGGCTCACGACTGACCTGTGAGCGCGGGCGGCGTGCGGGCGCAGGTTGCGGAAGGGCAGCAGGCGCGCGAGGCGCAGGCCCCGGCGGGGCGGCGTGCGGCGGGGCGCGGGGGCCGCCACGCTGTCGCGACTCGACTTGTCTGACACTCGCAGTTCACCTGTGAGGCTCACCAGCTCACCACTGACCTGTGAGCGCGGGCGGCGTGCGGGCGCAGGTTGCGGAAGGGCAGCAGGCGCGCGAGGCGCAGGCCCCGGCGGGGCGGCGTGCGGCGGGGCGCGGGGGCCGCCACGCTGTCGCGACTCGACTTGTCTGACACTCGCAGTTCACCTGTGAGGCTCACCAGCTCACCACTGACCTGTGAGCGCGGGCGGCGTGCGGGCGCAGGTTGCGGAAGGGCAGCAGGCGCGCGAGGCGCAGGCCCCGGCGGGGCGGCGTGCGGCGGGACGCGGGGGCCGCCACGCTGTCGCGACTCGACTTGTCTGACACTCGCAGTTCACCTGTGAGGCTCACCAGCTCACCACTGACCTGTGAGCGCGGGCGGCGTGCGGGCGCAGGTTGCGGAAGGGCAGCAGGCGCGCGAGGCGCAGGCCCCGGCGGGGCGGCGTGCGGCGGGGCGCGGGGGCCGCCACGCTGTCGCGACTCGACTTGTCTGACACTCGCAGTTCACCTGTGAGGCTCACCAGCTCACGACTGACCTGTGAGCGCGGGCGGCGTGCGGGCGCAGGTTGCGGAAGGGCAGCAGGCGCGCGAGGCGCAGGCCCCGGCGGGGCGGCGTGCGGCGGGGCGCGGGGGCCGCCACGCTGTCGCGACTCGACTTGTCTGACACTCGCAGTTCACCTGTGAGGCTCACCAGCTCACCACTGACCTGTGAGCGCGGGCGGCGTGCGGGCGCAGGTTGCGGAAGGGCAGCAGGCGCGCGAGGCGCAGGCCCCGGCGGGGCGGCGTGCGGCGGGGCGCGGGGGCCGCCACGCTGTCGCGACTCGACTTGTCTGACACTCGCAGTTCACCTGTGAGGCTCACCAGCTCACCACTGACCTGTGAGCGCGGGCGGCGTGCGGGCGCAGGTTGCGGAAGGGCAGCAGGCGCGCGAGGCGCAGGCCCCGGCGGGGCGGCGTGCGGCGGGGCGCGGGGGCCGCCACGCTGTCGCGACTCGACTTGTCTGACACTCGCAGTTCACCTGTGAGGCTCACCAGCTCACGACTGACCTGTGAGCGCGGGCGGCGTGCGGGCGCAGGTTGCGGAAGGGCAGCAGGCGCGCGAGGCGCAGGCCCCGGCGGGGCGGCGTGCGGCGGGGCGCGGGGGCCGCCACGCTGTCGCGACTCGACTTGTCTGACACTCGCAGTTCACCTGTGAGGCTCACCAGCTCACCACTGACCTGTGAGCGCGGGCGGCGTGCGGGCGCAGGTTGCGGAAGGGCAGCAGGCGCGCGAGGCGCAGGCCCCGGCGGGGCGGCGTGCGGCGGGGCGCGGGGGCCGCCACGCTGTCGCGACTCGACTTGTCTGACACTCGCAGTTCACCTGTGAGGCTCACCAGCTCACCACTGACCTGTGAGCGCGGGCGGCGTGCGGGCGCAGGTTGCGGAAGGGCAGCAGGCGCGCGAGGCGCAGGCCCCGGCGGGGCGGCGTGCGGCGGGGCGCGGGGGCCGCCACGCTGTCGCGACTCGACTTGTCTGACACGGCGTCGTTCGGTTGGATGTCATGTATGCACGACCACTGCGCAGAATACGTAATACAAAGGCGTATTAGTTTTTTACGTACAGTATTATTTTCTTAACAAAACAGCTGAAAACACAGCTCAATCCCTCACGAGATTTCGCTCACTTACATTAACTTACAGTCCCGCTAATGGTGAATGGCTACTACTGTCCATGGACACTTGCAGCCAACTACGAACAAAGTAGGCTACAGATAACTGCAGTTTTAAAAAAATTCAGTTATTATTCTGATAACAACTAAGAACTGTTGCACATCTCCTGTTTCCATTTCCCTCTGTAGCCTCTTACGACACTCACAGGACGGTATGGGCTAGTGGATATTCTTACATCGCCACTACACGGTTAAAAGAATTAAAAAAAGAAAATAAGGTTGACTCTGCAAGCCATCCCTGGTACTTCCGGCTTATTTTCGGGCGTAACGCTCGAAAATCTATTTAATTTTTGGTTTTTATTTTTTGAAAATCTTTGAAACGGCTCGGCCGATTGACTTGAAAATCTAATCAGCGCCGTGTCACCCATCTCGATGGGTTGGTTTGTTCTAAAGGTATCGTGCGACAAAATTTTATTTACCCACACACGCACGCACGCACACACACAATTGAAATTTCTTGATATCCTGATATCTCGTCTGCATCTTTATCATTACAGCCCTTTACAAGTCCACTGCTGAACATAGGCCGCCCCCAACAAATGCTACAAAGCACGGTCCTGAGCCACCTGCATCCATCGACTTCCAGCATGCAGTTCTTGTGCACAGGCAATAAACTCAAAATTCTGTCTCTAACATTCTTTATTTTTAAATCTATCAGTATCAATGTTGTAAGGAAAATCATAGTGAGGTTATCGACAAGTCTTCGAAATAAAAATATTTTGAGATGTGAAGACCGCCAACATGCTGTGAAGAAATATATCAGACTAATTAGTTCATAGTCCCCTCAGAAATTTGATTTATACGTGGTAGAGCCACACTACAGAGCTATTATGGTTGTAGCACGAGTGCGTCGGCTCGACCGGGGAAGAACCACGATCTCACAGAAATAACTGCGTAATGCTGCCGCATTTCGTATGGTAAGTGAAAGAGAACCAGAGACCTTTTGTACTGGATATGAGGCATTTTGTGTAAGTCAATGGGTAACAACACATCTGTATTTCGATTCTTATTAAAAATACATGTAGGTGCCTATGGGCCACAGCATCAAGCTACTATGAGGTGAACTGAGTGCTTGTTTATCACCCTTATTTGATAGAGTGATAATGTCTTAATCTAATACCAATTTTTTTTTTCAATATAAATTATATTTATTTCCATTGTTTAAATCACATTGTTTCTATCAACCAACAATCTACTGACCTTGAAATTATTATTTGAAAAGATTCTCCTATTGCAATTTCTAAATAGAATAGAATGAAAGGAAATAAATAAAATAATAAATTAAATAACAAATAAAATAAAATATAAAACAATAAATTAAATAAAAGGAGCTAAACAGGTTGCTATCCATTTGCTGAATTTGCATTTTATTAAGTAAAAAAGATATATATAGATTTCTTATACTAACCTCAGATCTATCACCATGGCTTATATTTCTACTTAAGGCACTCCAGCCTTGAGGATGAATCTGGAAAACAAGTAATAAAAGCATTAAAATAATTCCAAATAAGTGATTGCTTTTTAAATATAACGCAATTAAGTTGACAAACATTAGTATTTTTTAAAATTATTTCTATGAACATTATCCTATTGCTCTAATTATAAACAACTTTAGAAGCAATTACAATAAATAGGAAAAAACACAAATGAAAAACGGATTAATTAAAGTTAAAACCATTATTTCAGATAGATATGTTGTTTGATATTTATTATCCTCGTAAAATTGCACGCAACGGTTTGCGATCATGCTAACTTGGTCTGTAAATACGTCCCAATTGGGAGACTCTTAATGAATAAACTAGTGACATTTTATTCAGTACAGACAGTTTAAGCAGTATTGCAGATTTAACGCGAGACATAATGCGACAAGGACCGGACAGCGAAAAATTGGCGGAAGCGACGCCGACGCAGATGGCTATAATTATTAGGTTTTTACGTGCTTTCCGAGAAACGGGAGTGAACCACCGCCAACTTCCTAACTCTGGGCTACTTATGAGAATTTATTGACAGAAAACCCCAATAAGTGACTTTTAGCCTGACACAGAATTTACAACCTCCAGACCAACGAGGCAGTCATCATTATAAATAAAAGAAGAGGTCCTGATGCCTGCGCGTGTATGATAGGGCTCTGATTCATAGAAACCAAGGTGTAAACTTCACTTACAATCATGTAGGAAGCTTGATATATTTTGTAGTGATGGGAGCGACACTAATTTAATTTTACTTGGTTCGTCATCATCATCATTACAGCCTTTCACAAGTCCACTGCTAAACATAGGCCTCCCCCAAGTTATGCCACAAAGCACAGTCCTGACTCCATCGACTGCCTGCATGTCTTACCAGGTCATCAATCCATCTAGAGGGGGGTCGCCCTACACTTCGCCTACCAGTATACTACCCCATCGGTTGTCGGTTCTTCGACCTATATGGCCGGCCCATTGCCACTTCAGCTTACTAATCTGTTGGACTATGTCGGTGACTTATAAATCTGAGACGTCGTCCGTCACTGCTGGCCGTATGAGGATGCTCAAGGTCGCTCAGCAAGCTATGGAGAGCGCTCTGCTTAACTGGGTTAATAATATATAATTATTGACACTTTCAAATGCCTTTCGAAAATCAAATTAAAGCACACCAACTTGACCACCATGATCCAAATAATTGGATATTTATATGTTATTAATATTATTTAGTTTTTGACAACGACAAACAAAAAAAGTTTTCATTGTGTCACTTTATTTTTTACTTGACTTTCAATTATGTGTCTGTTAAATATTTGCATAATATTTGTAATAAAAATACTGTGCTAAAATTCCAAGAATTATTCAAAATGTTATTTCCACTACTGGTGGTGACTTATATATATGTTAAGTAAAATTAGTTAAATAATGATTTTATTTCACAAGGGATCAATTTATTAAATATTTAAGTCGCAACTTATTACTAGTAAAATAACAAGTCATACTTGGATGTGATTGAAAAAAAATGATGGGTATGCAGATCCCCTGAGTTATGGGATAAGCGCTGGCCTTAAAATTTCATAGTACGCGATCAAACAGAGTCCAACATCATCAGTAAAATGGAAATTGTAAGCCTGCTCAGCAGTGAAAAAAAAAACAAAATATTAAAAGTTAAAACATTACTTTAAATAAAAGTACTGTGTGGATGTTTGGTAGGTAGATAATAAATTTTATAAAATTTACTTACAGAATATACTGTTTATTTCATTCAATTTCATATATAATGGAACAGAACCTCTTTATTTGGTTATTGTTTAAGGATTGATGACATACTACCATTTAGATCATAGGTAAACAAATAGAATGGATTATACCTGCAAAGCGCTGACAACCTCTGCATCATTCCTTTCTGGGAAATCGGACACAAACTCAACACGGTTCTCCCGACGTTCACTGTCAAACAGATGGTCGTACATTGCTGCAATAGGGATCAGCTGTTGACTCATCTGCATCAGCCTGTACAGGTTTGGCTGTAAAATAAAAACTTACATGTACACTTTAAAAATTAAGTTTATAAAAGAGATAAGTCATACACAAAATTCAAATGGTAAAGTTATGTAATAAAAACATAGTTAGTGATCATAGAATCTATGTCAATTTCTTTCACAGTCTAATGTGGTCGGGAACAACTAAATAATCTCCTTTTCTTGGGTTGAAATAATCTAGCTTTTTATTGTTATAAAAAAAATATATTATATGCCAATGATTTGTGAAGTTTAAAATTATGTTTTTACCTTAAATCCATGTAAATCCCTTGCCAATGTAGACAAGTTCAAGTTATGTATAATAACAAGCAAGCCACCTGTAGTACACATGACCATTTGTCTTGCATCTGGTGACAGTCTGCACCGCATTAAGCCTGAAGCATGAAATACTCTATGATGGACCACATTGTACTCTGTATAAGAATTTATATCCCAAGTATAAATGCTTCCATCTAGCCCTGACGTAACTAGTAGCTTGTCTTTCACTGAGAACTCTATGTTCTTCACCCAATTAGAGTGGCCTAGAAGTGAACATATTTTCTTTTTTAAATTTCTTATGTCCCAAAGTGCTATGGTGGCATCGTCTGAGCATGTTGCAAACATTCTACCATCCAAGAATCTGAAAAATAAATATGGGATTGCTCTCTATATATTTAACATCAACATAAGAGATGTCAAAAAGTCAACAAGAAAAAAGTGGGTTAATTTAATATATTTTATATGAATCCACTTTTCTCCTGTTGACTTTCCTCCTAGTCACACATAACAATCTACCTTAGGAGTACATCTAGATAGGTACCACCTTCTTGCCTATTTGTTGTAAAGCTACAGTGCATGCACTACAGCAGGAATAAAGAGCCAGTATAATTCAGACTGTGAGGCATTTCATCTTGGTCCTGAGAGGTGGGAGCACATCAGTAGTAGGCTTCTCTGTTTAAAGTTAGTTCTGGGGTCCATAGGCCACAGTAGAAATTTCCCATTAAGTGGACTGTACATTCATATTGTCATTTCACTATTTATTTATTATTTTAAAACCGTTACCCCCACACTAAGATTTTCTCCTGTGTCGTGGAGGCAGTTTACAAACATAAATTGCACGAGGACAAAAATCCAGACCCGGAACAATTATTTGTAGGCCATACAAATACTTGTTCTGTGCGGGATTCGAACCCGCGGCCCACAGCGCAACAAGTCATTGCTAAGCCACTGCGCCACGGAGCCGTCAAAATTATAAAAAAAAATCTACAATCTTGTTTTTAGAATTGGTAAAGCTGACATTATGGTCTGTGGGTAGTCTGAAAATATCTAATGTCTTGTCTATAATGTGTGCTTGTAGTGAAATTGGCTTTATCATTAACTTATAATTAAATACATTACACAATTTATCTAGGAATTGGTAAGGAAGCATACTGTGTGACTAGACCCACCCTGAACTAGAATTTACATACAAATTGTGGTTGGCTAAGGTGAATAAATGTGTGTTTAGATTTATAGTCTTTAGATAACATGTAATATGCTTGTGAATCATCATTTTTTCTTTTTAATCATAAGAATATACTTTAATACTTACTTCACACAGTTAACACAATCTGAGTGTGCTCCATTAACTGAATGAATTCTTCTATGTGTAAGTGGATCAAATATTTGAATGGATTTTTTTTCACAAGCTGCCACTAACAACGACCTGAAATATATAAAAGGAACTTAAATAAACTTCTTTCCTGAGTACCTTGCATGGATTTTGTTATGTGCTGAGCAAAAAATTCAAAATAGTAGTCAGTTGTCGATAAATTAATACCTATTATTCTTTCCAAAATATATAGTATGCTTTCTTAAATATGATCTTTTTGACTGAAACTTAAGATCTTTTTTAATCGCCCTGAATGTGCTGAGTCGCTCATATGGCACAGTGAATTGTAACAGGTAATATCCACATGGGAATCACAACATTGGCAGATATATAGTGGGAGGAAAGGAGCAGCTAAGTTTGTTTGTAGTTTTTGGGGGGAGGGTTGATTTCCTTCCACCAGTAAACTTGATAGTTCATTGGCAATTTCTAGCTGTAATGGTGTCATATCTATAAGGCGCAATGAAGTTTAGCATTTTTGCTTAGCTTACAGCGTAAATGATGATGCACATTTATGAACTCAACTGCTGAGAGAAACAAATGCTGTAACATTGCTGGCATACACTCTGCAAGATGTTGAACAATAACATTGCAGAAAAATGTTACTAGCATAAATGCTGAGCTTAGCTATGTCTATGTTTTTTTTAGCCCATTTACAAGCCCTACAAGCACACATATCATTAAGATGAATTAGGGACATCTATGGGGTCTCTAATATAATTTATGTTAGAGATTTAAAAAGAAACTTCTAGGAATATTTATACAGCATTATTTTGCAATAGCCGGCCAAATTTGCAGAGAAGATTCAGAATAAGTATTATAGGCAAATATGAAGCAAAGGTGAAGAAAAATTAATTAAAAAAATTTCAAACATTCTACCCTTTTTATCTTTTAAATTCAAAATATGTGGTAAAGTATTATCTTAACTGATTTTATTGTGCACGCACACATTCGTAAGGGTCATTCGGTATGCAAAAATGTTATTGCCCATAAATCATATTCAATTGAGATAATTTGAAATAACGGTATATGCCTTATCTACTCATATTTTCAAAAACTACAATAACGGTATATCATTATTTATATATTTGAACTGAACTTTAAAATTTGGCTACTATTTGAAAAATAACCCTGCATAAGTAGGATAACTTATAAGGAAAGTATTTTTAAATCATGGGCATCTATAATATTATAATTATAATTTACTACCTAATTAAGCACGACATGTACAATCTGACCTTTCTTCTGATAAATACACTATAAATAGTTTAATAAATGAGTATTCAATAATTATTGTGCAATGATATTAAAAATGGATTTGTGATGATAGCTCATGCAAACACAAGTGGTAAAATTACAAATTGTACAATACAATCAACTTCATCATTCATCATTATCATCATTACAGCCCTTCACAAGTCCACTGCTGAACATAGGCCTCCCCCAAAGAATGCCACAAAGCACGGTCCTGAGCCACCTGCATCCATCGACTTCCTGCATATCTTACCAGGTCGTCACTCCATCTAGTGGGGGGACGCCCTACACTTCGCCTGCCAGTACGAGGCTGCCACTCGAGAACCTTTCTTCCCCATCGGTTGTCGGTTCTTCGAGCTATATGGCCGGCCCATTGCCACTTCAGCTTACTAATCCGTTGGGCTATGTCGGTCACGCTAGTTCTACTGCGGATATCCTCATTTCTGAGTTTATCACGCAGAGAAACTCCGAGCATAGCCCTCTCCATAGCTCGCTGAGCGACCTTGAGCTTCCTCATCCGGCCAGCAGTGAAGGACCACGTCTCAGTTCCGTATGTCATCACTGGCAACACGCACTGGGTGTACAGTCTCGTTTTCAAGTTTTGAGGTATACCTGACGAGAAGATGTGCCGTAATTTCCCGAACGCTGCCCAACCGAGTTGAATCCGTCGATTGACCTCTCGGTCGAAGTTGGACTTACCTAGTCGGACTATTTGTCCCAGGTAAACATACTCGTCAACAACTTCGAGCTTAGTGCTCCCAACAACTACCGGCATAGGTGTGACATGGACATTAAACATGATCTTTGTTTTGTCCATGTTCATCTTAAGACCTATCCGTTGGGAAACACTATTGAGGTCATTGAGCATAGTGCTTAGGTCCTCCAGCGATTCTGCCATAAGGACTATATCGTCGGTAAATCGAAGGTGAGTGATGTACTCGCCATTGATGTTGATACCGTATCCTTTCCAGTCCAGAAGCTTGAAAACATCTTCCAATGCAGCGGTAAAGAGTTTCGGGGATATGACGTCACCCTGTCTTACACCTCTCTGCAATTGGATAGGTTTCGTACTCTGGTTCTGTACTCGGATAGCCATCGTAGCCCTACTGTACAAGCACTTCAACACTTCGATATACCGACAGTCAACTTGGCATCGCTGAAGGGACTGCAGCACCGCCCAAATTTCGACGGAATCAAAGGCTTTCTCATAGTCCACATACGCCAGACATAGTGGCAAATTGTACTCCTCGGACTTCTGTACAATTTGCCGAAGGGTATGTATGTGGTCTATGGTGCTAAAGCCTTTTCGGAAACCGGCTTGTTCGGGAGGCTGGAAGTCGTCAAGTCTGCGCGCGAGACGATTCGTAATGACTCTCGAAAACAGCACGTAGACGCGGCTCAGAAGGGAAATCGGTCTGTAGTTCTTCAAGAGAGCGTTGTCGCCTTTCTTGAAGAACAAGACCACCGCACTTCTGCTCCACGCCTCCGGTGTAATGCCACCATGGAGGACGGAATTAAAGAGCTTCTGAAGGACTTCAAGTACCGGTTTTCCACCCGCTTTCAGAAGATCCGCTGTAATTCCATCCTCGCCTGGGGCCTTGCCGTTTTTAAGGTGCTGGAGAGCCATTCTAATCTCGCTCAGACTGACGTCCGGGATATCATCGGAATAATGTCGGATAAGACTCGCTCTTGGATCGTTACTCACACTTGCGTGCGGCTCCAACGATGACGTGTACAGCTGCCCATAGAACCTCTCAATCTCACTCAAAATCTCAGGTGCCCCGGAAACGATGCTGCCACATTCTGTCTTCAGCTTTGACAGTTGGCGCTTTCTGGCAGACAGATCTCTGGCAAAGACTTTGGAGCCTCGGTTCCGCTCGATCGCTTCTTCAATACGAGCTGTATTGAATTTGCGTAAGTCCCGCCGCATGCATTTGGAGATCTGTCTGTTCAGTTGCCTGTATGCTGTTAAATCTGTTGAAGAATGTAGCTTCATCTCCCGTCTAACAGCCATGAGATTAAGAGTGTGATCGGAGAGTTTTTGTGTTCTTCTGCGGCGGGTCTTGCAGAACTTAGCTCCGACCGCATGGACAGTTTCCACGAGCTTGTCATTCAACTTCATCAACTTCAATATAAATAAAATGAGAACATCATCAATATACTCGAAGTTAATTGAATACGCATTATTAAGGATAACTCAAAAACTACTAGCCAGATCTTTATCAAATTTATATGGGACCATATGAAAAGCACCAGCTTTCAAAAAAAATCAACAAGATCAGTTCACCTGGAAAAAAGTTCTGAGGTAACACAAATAAGACTCCGCCGTTGCCGGTCCCAAGCCCGGATGAGAAAGGAGGAGGGGACGAATCCGCCGGAGAGAGTGGGTGTATCCGGTGGACTAACACACCCACCTGCGCTAGGACCTGCACAGTCGAGCGCCGTACGCGGGGATGAAGGAGTCCTGGAGGGTTGAGCCGATCGTCGCTGGGGTATATAGTGGCGAGAGGCAACACGCCCTCTTTGGTCCGGATTTCAAGCTAAACGGTGGCCCTATCTGCTAGTCATAGATAGGGAAATGGCCAAGCGCCCCGTCAGAGGGTCGCAGGCGAGGGATGTGGGGGCTGCCTAGTCTTCCTGAAAAGGGGGCTGGGTGGTGGTAAAGGCCATGCTGACGGAGCAAGTGACAGTTTGTTCGGGTGGTGGGGATGGGCCTTGTCAGCCCCATCTACCAGCTGGATCGAGCTCCCGATGTCGCGCTGTGAGCCAATTTCGCGTCCCTATATTCTCCCGGTAATCCTAACGCCTGAAATTCCTTTTGCTTCTAAAGTAGGGCGTTCCCAAAGGTGCGGGCTCCATGGAGGGTGGGAAGCCGGGGGGATGAATTTTAAAAAACACAAATTATGGACAATTTAAGGCCCAATAAGAAAGAGGGAGAGGTGTCAGAGGTGCTTACCAGAGACACCAAAGAACAAAAGGGAACCGTCACTAAACCGACGGTTCCACGGACAGTACCGTCCAGCGTAGGTGCCCCCACCAAAGGGATAACCTCGCTGAACGTTTCCAAAACCAGTTCCAAGGAGCTGGAAGAGAAAAAGAAACAAGAGCCCGCAAGTGATAAAACTGCGGAGCCACTACGGACTGACGACCTTTTCTCTGCTGCCTGGCAAGTGGTGAGCCGTAAGGGGAAAGGCAAGGCACCCAAAAAGGTGACTTGCCGACCTGACGGACCATCAGGAGGGTCTATCCCTGCAGGCAGTAGTGGAAAGGCCAAAAAGAAGAACAAGAAGCAGCGGGAAAAAGGCCGTAGAGAACGAGCCGCATTGGCTGCTTCAGATACCAAAACCAAGGAGGCTGGGCAAGCTACTGCGACTGAGGTGCTTGGCGCTGGAACCAGTAGCCGCGCTGAAGCTGGGAAGGATAAAAATCCAGCTCAAGTGGAAGTCGCGGACGCGGGAACCAGCTCTAGGATATCCGCCAGGAAGCAGCGAGCGGCCAAGCGTCCTGGGAAGAAGGAAAGAGCAGCCAAAAGGATGCTGGAAGAGTCCACCTCGCCTAGAGGTGAACACAAAAAAGTGCGACTCGAACAGCAACCAAAGACTGCAAGAACGAGCTACGCTTCCGCTGCTAAAGCAGATTTGGGTGTGGCCTTAACGTGTGCGCGTTCAGGTCACATTACGAAGGAAGTAGCAGACGACATCCTCGTAGCAATACAGAGGAAGATGATCAGCGAGGCCTGAAGTAGCCAGGACCCTGATGCGTCGGGCCCAGTTTTTAGGGGCAAACCCGTTTATACGGAAGGT